TATGGGTGAGTGAGCCGCCCAGCCTTGCAGCTCATGGGAGGGAGTGTGGGGAGCTAAAGGCTGGCCCCTTGTTGGGTTTCCCCCTGATTTATGGACTCATGGGGCGGTCTGTCCCCTCTGTGCCTGGAATACCACATCCTGGCCTGGGTCTGTGCCTCAGGCTTAGAGGCTCACCAGTTAATTCCTTTTTTTTTTTTTTTTTTTTTGGAATGACTTGGGGTCCTTCAGCTAACTTTTGTGAAGTGCCTGAGATGAGCCAGGTGCTTGCTAATCTCCTACTGGTTCTTTAACTGAACTCAAAACAACCCTGAAAAGCAGATCCTGTTAGTCTCATTTTCTCATCAAGGAGATAAATGCTCAGGAGCTCATGTGGGTTCCCAGCTTCTCCCAGTTAGCAAACACAGGGCTGGGACTTCCACACTGTCTGGCGGAAAAGCCTTCAGCTTCCATGCTTCCAGCATGTTCTGTTTCCCGTGGTATCTTCCCAGTCAACCTGCCACAGTTTCAGGAAGCATGATGCCACAGCAGGGGAGAGGCCTCAAGGGCAGCTCGGTGTGAGGCCAGCACCTGACGGTTTCTGGGGGGCGGCTTTGCTCAGCATCTCCTGGGGCATCTCCTAACAGGGCCCATGTTAACCACTTAGGTTCAGATGTGAATTTGGGCCCTCAGGACGGCTCCTCTTTTGGGCCCAAAGATGGTGCTTCCAAGTCACCATCAGAGATGTCAGCCCTGTGTCCTGACAGAGAACAAACAGGTCTGTTTCCCTCAGGTAGTTTTGTGGTTTATTTGGCCACATGGTTCGGTGAGGGCTGCTTTATCCTGTGCTCGTGAAGAAAGCCCACGGGCTTTGAATTCAGAGACCCTTGTCCCCATTACTCTCTATCACGTCACTCAGTATTTTCCCATCTGTCCCAATTTTAGGTAATAGTTCACTCGTTGACTTTTCACCTCCCCGACCTGAGTCCCCAAAGTCTGAGTGCAGGGACCTCTGTTCTCTCATTTTTTTTTGCATCTCTGTCATCTAGCCTCCAGCCAGCCTATAGGAGGTGAAAAACAATCAGATTTTAGATGAATAAATAAAATGAGGGAGAGCTGACTCCAGCCCTGGCTCCACCATTTGAAATCTCTGTGACTTCCAGCCATTTATTCACTTTTCCTTACCTGCAAAATAGACAAAGAACAGCAGTTTTGTAGGACTGTTGAGACATTTGTAGACGACCCATAGAACTCACAAAAGTTCAGCCTCCCGTCCTTCTCTCTCATATAATTGTTAATTAGTGCCTTGACCTGGCTGGGGGCGTTGGGGCGGGAGGATTTTGATCAGAACTTTCCCACACCTGGAAGGCGCTGACGTGCCCAAGCCCCGAGCTTTTGTCCTTTCCCAGGCGGGAGCCAGCGGCCTCCGAGAGCAGCTGCTAGAATGCGCTAACCTCTGCCAGCAAGGCCGTGGCACGGATCTGCCCCGGCTGCTGCAGAAACCCTGGCCAGCTCCAATTAGGAAGCTCTTCCGTGGAGCCGAAGGTTTTGAGGTTAACCCTGAAGAAACAGCTCCCTCTACACCAGCCTTCTAATTAAATGCTCGCGTTTACTTTCTGGAGTTCATTGAATCATTTTACCCGCATCGTGGGGCTTGACAAAGCCCAGTTGCTTTGAGTAATGGAAAAGTACAAAATGAGGAGACTTCAGGGAAGCCGTCCAATGACACAAGCCCTGCTGCTTCTGTCCCCACCTGGGTGGGGACCCCGCGTGCAGGAGGAGGGGCCTGACAGGGAATCATTTCCTGATCCCTGCCTTGGACTTGGTTCTTGATACCCTGAAACCCACGATGCGGAGTAAGGATTTCAGTCTACCCACAGGGTGACTCAAGGCTCTGGGGGCCACAGAATGATTCCTGGGAATTCCTGGGAACTTCTTGGTGCCCAGGTACTATGCTGGGCTGTATTGTGTGTGACAGTGGTGCTACCCTTAAGGTACTGACAGTATTGTTGGGAGACAGGGTTCATACAGAAAATATTGCCAGAATACCTTTGTGCTGATCCAGGCAATAATGATTATAAAGCGAGTAGGCCCCATCATTCATTCATTGCTTACTGTGTTCTAGGTCCTTTAAATACGTTCTCTTTCTTCATACTCCTAACCTTCTCTCAGAGGATCAGCTAACACAGTCATTTCCCTAAGCAGGGGGCAGGTTGGGCTTCAGGGGACCAGCTTCTGGTTGGGTTCCAGCATCCCCACCAGAAACTAAAGGAGAGGCTCTAACAGGTAGGAAGTCCCTCTCTGGGTTTCCTTGTACCCCCACCTCCTACCTCCCAGCAGCTCCATCCTGCATGGGGCGGTCACCTACCATCCCCAGCAGCAATGGGACCCTCAACAAGATCTTCAGACCTTCACCAGCTTTTAAGCAGAGGACACACCTGGGCATCAGGGAGGCGCCAGGTGATGGATGACCCCTGATTTGTCTGGACCCTGGGTCTCAGAGCCTGGTTGCTGAAGCAGTAGCAGCAGTTTGGAGTGGAGCCCAGCAGGTGGATTTTTAACAGTCTGCAGATGATCCTAATGCACATTCAAGTATAAGAACCACTGGTCCGCGTTTTCAAACCTGCCTGCATGTCGGAATGGCCTGAGGACTGTTTTGTGGGGTTTTAAAAAATTATGATGATGAACTTAATTTTAAAGTAAAATAAGCTTCACTTTTGGAAACAATTTTAGACTTACAGCAATATTGGGGAGGTAATGCAGAGAGTTTCTCTGTGGGCCCCACTCAGCTCCCTCCCATTATTAACATCTTACATAAGAGCGGTGAATTTGCTACAGTTGATGATGGGTCCTGATACACTGTCATTAACCAAAGTCCTTACTTTATTCAGGTTTCCTTAGTTTTGCTTAATGTCTGTTCCAGAATCCCATCTAGGATCTCACATTACAGTGAGTTGTTGTGTCTCCTTAGACTCCTTTGAGTTGTGCTGTTTCTCTGACTTTCCTGGTTTTTGATGACCTTGACCATTTTGAAATGTACTGATGAAGTATTTTGTAGAGTGCCCCTCAATTTGGATTTGTTTCATCTTTTTTGCATGCCTAGAAATGGGGTTGTAGGTTTTTGGAAGACCACGTGTTGTGTTGAGGACATATGCCATCACCGTGAGTCATTACTGTGGATGTTGGTCTCCGTCACCTGGTTGAGGGGACTTTGCCTTCTCCATCTACCCCAGTCAGGTTTCTCTGCAGGCCAGTTACAACCCCTGCCCCCCAACCTTCCATGCTGTGCTGTGCGGAAGGAAGTCACCAGCTCAGGCCACACTTAACGACTGGGGCTCTGCCTCCCTGTGGGCAGGGAATCTACAGAAACTGTTTGGAATTCTTCTATGTGGGAGATCTGTGTCTTCTTGCCCATTTATTTATTTATGAATTTGATCACTTACTGACATCGGTATGGACTCACGGGTACTGATTTTATGCTTCAGTTATAATGCAATTCCAGTCTGTAGTGTTATCCACGTTGGTCAACCTTTGACCATCGGGAGCTCTTTCAGTTGGCTCCTCTGTCCTTTTGACATGTGTCTTCACTGCAGAGATTTTTTTTTTTAACTACTTCCTTCCTTTCCACCACCACAAGCTTATCTTGTTTGTTTCCTGCCTCAGGCCTGGAATCTGCCGTTTCTTCAGGGAATCCTGGTTCCCTTTCCTGAGAGTGGTATCAGAAACCCACACCTGGGCCCTCGGTATGCTCGCTGCTATTGGGGTGTCAGTGGTTCTGGGTCCTCTCAGCTGACAGGTGGAGGAAATACATGCATGTATAGTGCCCTGTGTACACACACGTACCTGTAATTGTGTCCGAATGTAACTGTTTCTATCTGTGTTACAGATTCATGAGGTCATCCTGGTATCTTCCAGTGTGGACCCACTGCCACATGGATCTTTCTGGCCCCCTCCCCTTGCTTTATCTGTAAAGCCCTGCTCCACTGGTGAGAAGCATTGCTCCTGCCATCTGCCTTCCATTCCTTTAACCGTTCAGTTCTGGCACACGTGGATAATGGTGTCAGAATCGGAATTCTCACCCCCATCTATGGGAATCGGATCCACCAGCTGGAGCACAGGGTTTCTCCGTGGACTCTCTTGCCTTTAGTTTTACAAACTCCTCCAGTCATTCCTGGAGTTTCTCAGGTGCCGAGGGCCTCCCACCCTCTTTGGTGAGGATGTTTCACACGTTGGTCCTATAGTTTGATTCTTTGATCACATGCTGCGTGTCATCCTTGGACTCCCCAGTCTCGTCAATGTGTTTATTTTAATTTGCATCCTTTAAGCTTCACTGTCTGTGTGGCAAAGCTCTTTGGATTTTGACAAATGCTTAAATGTCCCACATTCACCATCATGGTATCCTATAGAGTCGGTTCATCGCCCTCAGAATCCCGTGTTTCCCCTGTTCCACCTCCTCTTCTTCCTGATCCCTAGAAACCGCTGATCTTTTGACTGATTCTGTGTAATGGGAATCGTGCTGGCCTCTTTCACTTAGCAATATGCATCCAAGATTCATCTGTGTACGTTCATGGCTTGACGACGAATTCTTTTTATGGCTGAATAATACTCCACATTACAAACGTACCAGCTTGTTTATTCATTCGCCGAGGAAAAGACATACTGGTTGCTTCCAGTTTGGGGTGATTATGAATAAAGCTGCAGTGTTTTCATTGGTCTGTTTGGTTTTGTGGCCATCAGTTTTCAAAGTTGTGGGTTCCTTGCTGCTGAATGCACATGAGCACAGGTAGAGGCTCCCAGGTAGGTGTGTGGGAGGGGGATGGAGGGTCATAGGGGGCCCTCCACAGAGAGCGCTCTCCATCCTATTTCAGATTTGGAGATGAGGCAGTTAAGCCCCGGGCCCTTCTCCACCCGAGATCAGAGGGTGCATGGAGGTCCCGCCACATCCGATCTGAACGTGCTGTGATTGCCCTCTCGTGTGGCTGTTCCTATGTCAGTTTCTCACTTTGGTTATCTGATTTTGGAAGGCTCTGCTCTGACCAACGGGGGATTAAACCTGCACAGCCCCGTGAAGAGGAAGCTGGAAGCAGAGAAGGACTATGTCTTTGACAAGAGGCTCAGGTACAGCGTCCGCCAGAACGAAAGCAACTGTAGGTTTCGGGACATTGTCGTGCGGAAGGAAGAGGGGTTCACACACATCCTGCTGTCCAGCCAGACCTCGGACAACAACGCGCTGACCCCCGAGGTGAGAGGCAGGGGACCCGAGGGGAGGGTCAGGCTGGAGAGGGCTTCTCATTCAGAATGGGGCACTGGCTCTCTCTCTGTTCCATCAGGAGCCTATGATGGTAGCCAGCACACACGCAAACTTGACTCTGGGAAACCATGTGCTGATGACCTTACATACATTATCCATTTGATCTTTATGACCAGGTAGTCATACTATCCCATTTGACAGATGAAGACCCCAGTGAATGGAGAGATTCGGAAAACTGATCCAGGTCCCAGAATTGGTCACAGGGCACCTCCATGTATCTTGGGCTTTTCCAAGCGTGTCAAATTTCCTTGCTTTGGAAGGAATCCTAGTCACTCAGCTCGCTTACTTTTTTTCAATTGAGAGAGAATTCACATACCATAGATTTCACCCTTTTAACATGTACATTTTAAAGTATATTCACAATGATCTACTTCTAGCACATTTCCATCACCCCCAAAGGAAACCCCATGCCCATTGCCATCCTCTCCCCATTTTCCCTCACCAAGTCTCCGGTGACCACAAATCTACTTTTTGTATCTACCAATTTGCCTGTTCTGGACATTCCGTGTGAACGGAAGCATATCGTATGTGGTCTGTGACCAGCTTCCTCCACTGAATACCATGTTTTCAAGGTTCATCCCTGGAGTAGCACACGCCCGTGCTTCCTTCCTTTCCCTCGTATGGATGTGCCACGTTTGGTCCATCAGTCATTCAGTGATGGACGTTTGTTTTGGTTCCATCTTTGACTACTGTGTTGTTACGAATATCACTGCAGATGTTTGTGTACGAGTTCGCATGTGAACGTGTTTTCAGTGCTCTTGGCTGTTTCCCTCCTTGTGGAACTGCTGGGTCGTATGGTAACTCTGCATTTAACTCTTTGAGGAACTGCCAACCTGTTTTCACAGTGGCTGTGCCATTTTCCATTCCCACTGGCCATATACAAGGGCTCTAGTGTCTCTGCATCCTTGTCAACACTTGTTACTATCTGTTCTCGTTATTGTAGCTCTTGGAGTGGGCGTGAGGTGGCATCTCTCCGAGATTTTGGTGCGCATTTTCCTGATGACTAATGATGTTGGGTGTCTTTTCATGAGCTTATTGGCTGCCTGTCTCTTTTCTTTGGAGAAATGTCTGTTGACATCTTTTGCCCCTTCTTAAAATTGTTTTTTAACTCTTGAGTTTTAAGACTTCTTTGTCAGACATTTGATTGGAAAAATATGCTTTCATTCTGTGACTTGTTACTTACTTTCTTTTTTTTTTTTTTTATTTCTTTTCAGTGTTCCAGAATTCATTGTTTATGTACCACACCCAGTGCTCCATGCAATACATGCCCTCCATAATACCCACCACCAGGCTCACCCAACTTCCCACCCCATGCCCCTCCAAAACCCTCAGATTGTTTTTCAGAGTCCACAGTCTGTCATGGATCATCTCCCCCTCCAATTTCCCCCAACTCACTTCTCCTCTCCATCTCCCAACGTCCTCCATGTTATTCCTTATGTTTCACAAATAAGTGAAACCATATGATAATTGACTCTCTGCTTGACTAATTTCACTCAGCATAATCTCTTCCAGTCCCCATCCATGTTGCTACAAAAGTTGGGTATTCATCCTTTCTGATGGAGGCATAATACTCCATAGTGTATATGGACCACCTCTTCCTTATCCATTCGTTCGTTGAAGGGCATCTTGGCACTTTCCACAGTTTGGCAACTGTGGCCATTGCTGCTATGAACACTGGGGTACGGGTGACCCTTCTTTTCACTACATCTGTATCTTTGGGGTAGATACCCAGTAGTGCAATTACAGGGTCATAGGGAAGTTCTATTTTTAACTTCTTAAGGAATATCCACACTGTTTTCCAAAGTGGCTCACCAACTTGCATTCCCACCAACAGTGTGAGAGGGTTCCCCTTTCTCCACATCCTCTCCAACACATGTTGTTTACTATCTTGTTAATTTTGGCTGTTCTGACTGGTGTAAGGTGGCATCTTGATGTGGTTTTGATTTGAATCTCCTGATGGCTAGTGATGATGAACACTTTTTCATGTGTCTGTTGGCCATTTGTATGTCTTCATTGGAAAATGTCTGTTCACGTCTTCTGCCCATTTTTTGATGTGATTATCTGTTTTGTGTGTGTTGAGTTTGAGGAGTTCTATTAGATCCTGGATATCAGCCCTTTGTCTGTACTGTCATTTGCAAATATCTTCTCCCATTCCGTGGGTTGTCTCTTTGTTTTGTTGACTGTTTCCTTTGCTGTGCAGAAGCTTTTGATCTTGACTTTGTCACTTTCTTGATGGCATCCTTGGATGTACAGTGCTTAAAATTTTGATGAAGTCTATTTTACCTGTTTTTTCCACCTTACCTTTTTAACGCTAATCACGCTTTTATTTTAAGTGAACACAATGGGGAGACAGTGAATACTTAATGCCATTGCATAGACAGCACCATTTAAGATCTGGGGTACTGAGGGGGAGCAGTGAAGAAATGATGAATATTTTAAAGAGATTCTTGATGGTGCCAATGTGGGAAAAGTCTCATCCAAGAAGACTTCTCCAACTAGACTGACCTGCCACCGGGTGGTGGAGTAGTAACTGATGAACACCATGACCGTGCCAGCTACCAGCAGCCCTTTGTCTTTTGTATTTGCCATTTACCCATTTCCTTCCCCCAGGGCCCTCCCAATGTAGGGTTCTTATGATCCTCTTACAGATGAGACCGTGCAGGTTTAGAGAATTAGGCCTAGGGTCCCGTCAGCTTCAGGGGGCAGGAATCTTGCCACTTGTGCCCACCATATTGTTTCTCACACTCAGCCTAGTGCCCGGCCCAGAATGACGGCCATAGGGCAAGAGATGTAGCTAAATCCTTTGCAGTTTGTGGGGCTGCTGGTCACCTGCTGCCCCTCCTCTAAGCATGGTGTTTTGAGGTCTTTCTCTTGCACGGTCAGAAACCACTTTAGAGCGCTCTGCTGCGCAGACCTTGGTGGTTTACCCCAGAGGCTGCCCTTCGCATGTCTGTACACCTGAAAGCCTTGTTATTTTAAGCTCATCGTGAAACATCTGCACGAGACCAGCTCTTAGATTTTTTTCCTACTTCACTGCTTCTTGAAAGCATGCTTTTAAAAGGCACAGCATTTTCCTTCAATAAATCGAATAAATGTGGAGTCTCCCAGTTCATCCTGTCTCTTTGGAGTAGCTTTATGTGTTAACCGTTGCCTATTCAGCATGGAAGAGGCGGGATCTCCAGCTGATATCAGGTGCACAGGTTCTCAACTCCAGAGATGAGGGCTTGGTGAATTAGGGGTTCCATTCCTAATTGGTGTCTGTCAGAAACAGAATGTGAGGAATGGAAAAAGAAAATGGTTTGGTGTTTTCGGCTGTCTGGACGACGGGAATGGACTGACTCTATAGAGAAGATGGCCAGCTGGGCAGAGCAGCCCTGAAAGAAAGATCCCAAAGAAAAGAAGAGGTGGTGTTAGCAGAGGAGTATAGATTTTGGAGTCTAGTGGACTAGGTTCAAATCCTGCCTCCACCAGCTCACCTTGGGAGGTGAGCTTGCCTCTTTGAGCATCCTCATCCCTACAAGTTATAGTATATCGTGCTTGTAGTATGAGAGAAACTGTCTGCCCGGAGGCTTGCAGAATGCCTGGCATGTGGGAAACGTTCAGTAAGTGTTCCCATCATTGTGAAGATGAAGCAGAGGTGATGTCACGGTGTCCAGCAGACCCAGCCTTCCTTACTCAAGGAGCAACTGGGACAAGGCCACCCTGCATGTCATAATTGAATTTCTTTTTCTAGTTGTATCTGGGACATTGGTTGGATTGGCCTCATGGGCAGAAATTCATACATTACTGGGTGTGTTAACTAGATTCTGAGGCTAGCGGGTGTGTTGTAATATTGCTCCTGTCTGGAATATAGCAAAGAACCAGGAAAATAATGAAAATGCCCCTTTAGGAAAGAAGAAGAAAAATAGATTGCTCAAAGTGTTGGTGATGAAAAGCCCATCCACTTCCCCATTAGGAGCAGACCCCAAGGCCTCTCTCAACTCCTGGTTTTGTGCAGTGCTCTAAGCCGCTGTGAACTGTACCACCACTATCCGAGGGAGCACGCCATGTGGGAGTCACACCTCATACCCTCTTGATCATACCCACTGGACGCACACCACCCCCAAGGCGTATTAACTTTCATTCTTGAAGAGCCCACTCACAGGTTTTCTTCTCTCTGTTTCCATTAGGACCATTATATTCTGTCTGGATTGGTGTAACAACTTGCTAACAAGCCTGCTCTTTCAGCTTTTCTACCTGTAATCCGTTGTCTTCAGGGTGGGCAGAGTGACCTGCCAGGAATACAAATCTGATCAAGCCACCCCTTCTACGCACACGCGTGCACGCACACACACACATTTGCACAAACTTCACATATGTTGGTGGTTCTTAGTTGCTCTGATTAAGAATCAAAACTGTTCATGTGGCTGGCGAGGCTGGTATATTCTGACCTGCCCACCTCTGCAAGCCTCCTTGCCTTATACCACATGTCCACCTTCTATTCTCCTGTCCTCTATCAGCCTGACTTTCTTTCATGCTCACACCTGCCCCAGGGCCTTTGCATATACCATATACCTGTACTTCTGACTGAAACATCCTTGCCTAGTGGCCTTGCACTTCATTCAGGTCTCAGCTCAACCACCACTTCCACAAGATCCCTCACCACCCCTCAGCTCCCTGCCCAGGTTATATCCGCCTCTCAGAGGAGCTTTCCTAGCACTACACAACCCTCCCTTCTGGAACTTGCTACAGTTGTTAATGTACATGTATTTGTGTGATAATCTGTCTGGTTCCTCCCACTACACTGTAAACTTGTTGAGGAGGTAAATACTGTGCCAGTCATTCAAATCAATAAACATTTATTAAATTTTTTTATGTGTGAGGTTCTGGACTAGGTGTTAGAAGGGTTATACAGATAAGTAGAAGACTCATCTGTTTTAGTCTTTAAAGAATTGTATTCGTTATCTATTCCTGCATAATAAATTTCCCTAAACTTAGCATCTTAAACAATGAATGTTATCTCACAATTTCAGTGGGTCAGGAATCCTGGCATGACTTAGTTGGATGCGTCTGGCTTGGGGTCTCTCAAAGTCAAGGCATGTTGCCTGGGGCTGCAGTCTCAGCTGAAGGCTCAGTGGGGGAGGATGAACTTCCAAACTCACCCAACTGGCTGCTGGTGGGTCCTCACTGGCCAGAGACATCAGTGCCCTGCCTTCTGTCTTCTCTGTCTGGGCTCCTCACAACATGGTCTGCTTCCCCAGACGGAGAGCTCCGAGGAGGAGAGAGAACAAAAGCGGACAGCCAAGACAAGCTGTGTCTTTTTGTATCCCAGTCTCCTCTTGAACAGGACATCCTGTCCGTCTTGCCTTACCTTGTGGTTAGGCATGAGTCACGAAGTCTGTTCTACACTCACTGGGGGGGATGCCACAAGGGTATGACTCCCAGGGAGGGGATCGTTGTCAAGCAGGAGGTAGGGTGAGGCAAGAACGCTCACATTCTACAAGGGGGCTTGTCACAAGTGTCGTAGCAGGGACACATGGGGTATTGGGAGAGGCAAGAGTTGGCATTTAGTCAGAGATACTTGGGAAAGCATTCGGGAAGGTAGTCACAGGTGAGATGGGCCCTGGGTTGCTGATTTCAGCAAGTAGAGATGCAATAGAGAGAGGGACTCTGGTCTACTCTCCCTTTCAACCCACTTCTAATGAATTTGGTCTCGCTGGTTCCAACCCATGGCAGATCAGAAGATAGAAGTAGTGGGGCTGGGTGGGGGTTGGGGGAGAGCGTGCTTTCTCTAGCAGTTGCTGACATCTGGAGCAAGTGGCAGCTAGCACGTGTCTGGCAAGGGCAGTAAATCTCAAGACCATATTTAGGGCTTCAGAATGCATAGCAGTCTTGGACCATTTGTTACAGAGGCATTCCCCAGGAGCCTCTGAGGGCACCGGTCTGTTACAGCCCGGCACGTGACCATGGAGAGGTGGTTCCGTGGGTGCGGCTGAGGAGTTTAAGAAAGCAAGAGAGGAATCATTTTAGAACGTTTTACTTTAAACAACCAAGTACATAATGCAATTTGGAGCCCTTCAAGGAGGCAGAACCTCAGCCAGGAGTCCAAATTGGATCATCGACACGAGAAAAGCAAAGGAAAGCTATACTAACTAGACACGACTTTCTTTACATTAAAAAATATATAAATATATAGTTTATACTTTCCTCACATGAATGAAATGCAGATTTACTTTCCATTTAATTCATAAAGGAGCTGGGTGTTTTGTTTGATTTTGTCTTTACTAATTGACAAGTCAGTGTGACCTCAGAGAGAGAGAGGCCACTCTCTGCGTCACGTGTGGAACGGCAGCTCATGTCTTAACAGCGTGCTTTTCTTTTATTTGCCTCTCAGAGAAATAGAGTCGTGGATTGTTCAGAGTGTGTCTATTTCTGGAGGCAGATGGATTAAAGGACCCACACGCTAGTGGCCTCTTGGTTCTTTTGTTGTTCAAAATGAATCTGTGGCTTATGTCCTGGTAGAATGGAAGGTGCCTCTGCCATGCTCACAGAGCACAGGCTGGAAGATTCTCCATTCAAAATGACATCCAGCCCTGGTTTTTTCCCCCACTAAAATTCACCCATTTATTTAAGCCATCCTACAATACAGCGTGGTAGAAAGAGAAGGGATTTGGGGGTGAGATGCATATCATGGCTCTGCCTCTTGCTGCTGACCTCAGGCAGCTCCATGCCACTCCCCTGAGTCTCCCTTCTATTACCTGCGAGATTGGGATACCACATTCCCTCTTATATGGGATTTTTGTTTGGAGTAAAATACATGGAAGTTTCCTGCTGCAATCCCTGGCACCTCCAAGTGCTTAATAAACGGGTTCTTTAAAAAGTATAATTTTAAAAGCACGGCTCCCATAATAGTTTCCCATTGTACCCTATGATAGTGCCTATTGAAAAATTAATAACGATCCCTTAAAAGCCTGTTCACTTATTGTCTCCCCAGTTGGACTCTCAGCTCCACACAGGCAAGCGCATGCCTTATTTTCTCTTACCGTGCTGTTTCTGCTCTTATTCACTTATTTTTCCCTCCTCCCCTCACTTCTGTTAGACCGAGTGATTGAGCTTTCTTTGTTTTAATCCCCTCCCCCTTCATTGTAATCCATGTGCATTTAAGAAGCTATCCTTAAGTTCTGTACACAGAGTGAAGCCTAAACGTCATCCTGTCACCTCTTCACCACGCCCAGACCTAGAACCTCGGCATGTGGTCGTCATTCCTTCTCTCATCTGACGCGCTATTACCACCTGGACCCCAGTTCTACACTTGTGCAAACCTTCAGCCTCAGTCGGTCATTATCAGTCTGATGATTTTATAGCCATTCTTATATTGATTTGTCAGCACAGTCGCCATGTTTCTTTGTTGGCTGTTACTCCGTGCATGTCCCGTTTTTCTTTCTGAATATAGTTTTCTTCTTTCTGAAGCGTATCCTTTTTAAATTCTCTCAACAAGGGTCTAAGAGTGGTAAAGATTCTTTTGCTGAAAACTCCTACCTTTTACCCTTGCTTTTGGATGATAGTTGAGCTGGGTACAGAATCCGTGTCTGATGGTTGTCTTCCTTGGCACCTGGAAAATTTTAGGAGTTCTGATGCCAAAGCCCCCTTCCCATATGCTACCCACAAGCCATGCAAAAGTCTTAGTTGAATTAAGGACGAGCAAGAGTATAATTGAACCTGGCCTTCTAGAGAAGGCTAACATACCTCACCTGGGCTGTGCGCAGGAATTTTTTTCCCCACAACTTGGAAAGGGCTAAACATGCAAATTCTGGAAGAAGATTTGCAGAGATTTACCCAGGATTACATGGCTCCAGGCCACGCTTCCCAAGTCTGAGGCCAGTGACCTCACTGCCACCTTCTTAGCACTCTGCCTGCTTTGGGGATGCTGCAGGGGAGCTCTGGTTTTGGTGTTTCTTTGCTTAGTCTAGATGTGGCTTGAATTCAGGAGGGTCTTCCTGCAGAGGAAGAGAAGATGCAGGCTCGAGGTCTGAAAGCCTCTGGCCTATAGGTAGATAGTTAACATCCCTGCCAATCCATCTCTGCCCGCAGATCATGAAGGAAGTCCGGCGAGCACTGTGCAACGCGGCCACAGATGACAGCAAACTTCTGCTTCTCAGTGCAGTGGGCAGTGTATTCTGCAGTGGCCTAGATTACTCCTACCTAATTGGCCGGTTGTCCAGTGACCGGAGAAAGGAGAGTACCCGGATTTCAGAAGCCATCAGGTAAGCTCTGCTCATGTTTGGACACTTTGGGACCTGCTTCCTTCTTGAGAAATGTAGCACATAAAAATACAGCCTGCTCAGTTAAATTTGAATTTCAAACAAGAAAGAAAAATTTTTTAAACATAAGTCTATCCCATGCAATATTTGGGATATACTTATACTAAAAAATTATTTGTTTTTTATCTGGAATTGGGATTTTAATTGGGCATCCTGTATTTTTCTGCCAAAACTAGGGTGCCTTTGTCCTCTAGGTTAGATCCCACTTTATTCTCTTGATCAAAAAGAGATTTTATTTCTTTGTATTAAGCCCAGTATCTGGTAACACCCAGCTGTTATCCATGCTACTCCTGCCCTCTGCCCTCTGCCCGATGGTACAACTGTTGATTTTTTGGGTGTTCCTGTGTCTTGAGGCTGACATGGCTCCACACTGGGAAGAGGATGGAGGGTTACCCTGGGTATCTGTGCATTTGCAGACCCAGCAGGGTAGGGAGTGCTTCCCCCTCTCTTGCTGCCTTTGGGACAGAAGTTAGGATCCTGGGGCTGACATCTGATCCCCACAATCGGTATCTCTTTTGGGACCCTGAAGGGTAGTTATTTCCCCAGTATTTACAGATTTATTTTATCTTTTTAAATTTATTTTAATCAATTTGTTAATTAATTTTTTATTTTTTCTTATGTTATGTTAGTCACCATACAGTCCATCATTAGTCTTTGATGTAGTGTTCCATGATTCATTGCTTGTATATGACACCCAGTGCTCCGTGCAATCCATGCCCTCCTTAATACCCATTACTGGGCTCACCCATTCCTCCTCTCCACTCCCCTCTCCTCTAAAACCCTCAGTTTGTCTCCTGGAGTCCATAGTCTCTCATGGTTCATCTCCCCTGTGATATCCCCCCTTCAGTTTTCCCTTCTTTCTCCTAATGTCCTCTATGCTATTCCTTATGTTCTGCAAATAAGTGAAACCATATGATAATTGTCTTTCTCTGCTTGACTTATTTCACTCAGCATAATCTCCTCCAGTCCCGTCCATGTCGATGCAAATGGTGGGTATGCATCCTTTCTGAGGGCTGAGTAATATTCTTCCATTGTATATATTTATGAAAAGCAAGTGCGTGTTATTTCCAGCAAGGGCTGTCACTCAGCCTCCACCTGGGAAGGGCTCAGGCTTGCTGCTGCACCTAGCTCCAAGCTCCAACAAGAGTCCCAGTGTGGTAATGCCACCTGGTCTCTCGGAAAGGAACACTTCTCCGTGTGGTGTCATGGAGCCTCACTCCTCATGTGAGGGCTTTTCTGGGCCTCCTGTCTCACTGTGCCTGGCAGTGTCACGTGGATGCTGATTGTCATGTGGCCGTGGGAGCCTTCCACGGGATGCAGTCTCCAAGAGATGACGTGAGGTTGTTCTAACAGGTGGAGTTCCAAGTCCCCTCTTCAGGGTGAAGTATCCGGGGAAGTAGGCTCCAAAGCACGGGTGTGCTTCCCATTGCAGAATTCTTACCCCACAGAGACACAAAAAGGCTGAGCACTGTTGCTAGAAAAGGTATCGTGGCTGCGTGCTGCTCCCAAGCTTCCTGGCCACAGACATACCTGGCCACGTCCACAGTGGTTTATCCTCTGTTTGGACTCAGCTGTGCCTTTTAACAGCTGCCTCATCACAGGCGGGGGAAGGGGGAGCAACAGGGTCCCCAGTAAGCTTCCTTCATTTGGGGGACCATCAGAGATGGGGCGCCCATCTCTCTGGCCTAAGGAAAGCCTTAGCCATAGCCGTCATATGGTTAACGGATTTCAGCGGAGGCATTAGCTGGATTTCCAGAAGCCCCAGATTTGAGGAGATGCTGAATGCATTAGCTAACGTCTTGAGAAACACAGCCAGTGGGATTTGAGACATTTGCTATCTCATAGAAAGGCGAGTTTCTCTTAAGTAGAATAGAGGGGGTGGCAGCAAAGGGAATTCTTTCCAGTGTTCAAAGGGAGTGGAAGTTTCTAATTCATGAGCCTGCAACAACATCGGGGGAGGGAACGGGGGGGTGCCCCCTAGACCAGCAGTTCACAGTCCCAACAACTCAAAGAATCCACAGGTCACTTTTCTAAAACCCGGAAATCTCCGAATCAGGGAGTGTGGGGGTGCTGCCAGCTCGTCTTTGCTCTTGAAGTTCCCTCAGGAGTTCTCCCATGCTAGAAGGAACAAAGATGGATGAGCAGCCTCACAGGCCGGATGGGGGCGCATACAGCATGCCCCTCTAGCGAAGAGTGCCCACGGGGTCAGAAAATGCGCCATGCCCATCATCGCCAAGTCCTAGGGGAGGCTCCAACTTCACCAGATTGGGAGTGCTTCCCCCGGTGGCCACACTCCAGAGTTTGGGACACAAGGTGGCAGAGAAGCATTTTCCAGAGAATGTTCTGCAGATTTCCAGAGAAGCATCCTGAGTGAAGGGCGCTGTCCCTAAATTACTTTGGGCCACGCTGCAAGTTCCGTCCCTGCTTCTGCAGATTTTCCAGGCATAGGAACATATTTGCAGCCTGAGAAGTGTCTTGTGAAAGAACTTTGTTCAAAGTCTAGCATGGCTGAAACATACTTTGGCCACAGAACCTTATAACCTACAGACAGCCCTTGCGGTTCCCTGGGGACATGCGTGCTCTCGGCTGGGCTGACCTCCAGGCTCGGGGCACGCTGCAGGGCCTGCCGTAGCACCCCCAGCACCGCTCCCTCCCCATCTGCATCGTTTCCTCGAGAAAACAAGCACACACGTGACCCAGTACACCGTGTTCGCTCTGCAGATGTTTGTTGAATGAACTAGCAGATGTGAGAAGAGCTCAGATAATTCATTCAGCACAGGCTTCTGTCCAGGACCCAAACAAAGCTGTCAGCCCCATCCTGCAAGAGAGGCTGCCCTCCCCTGAACTCACAGGTGATGGGATGGTCTGGTGAGGAAGATTAACCAGATAACCCGTCTGAAAAACTTGGTCAGACCCAGCACACAGTCAGGACTTGGGACAGGTGTAAGGAATTATTTTCATTGCCAGTTCTCTTACGTCCAGCCACAGGTTCTAGCTAAGCCTGCTCTGACTGTGGAGTGGGCTTCAGGAGCACCCCTCTGATGGCCCCAGGATGACCACCAGCGTGTGTATCTGGAGCTCAGAGGTCTCGTACTGGCTGACTCGGCAGTGGACTTCAGCGGTGGGAGAGCTGTACCCCGGCGCTCTGGGTAGAGGAAATAGGTAGCTTGTGGCTCCAGGTGGAATCCGGACATCCCTGTATGCAGATTATTGCTTCATAATGCCCCTCTGGGCCTGGAGGGTGGATCGCCAACAACTGAGAATGGAGTGGGAGCAGCGTTTGCCCTCCCCAGCGGGTGCACCGACTATAATAATACAAGCAGTCATGACTGAGGGCTGCTGCGTGCCAAGCACTGTCTCCTTGAATTCCCATATGGCCCCATGAGGACAAATCATTGGCTTTCCCATTTGACAGGGAGGAAAATGGGATTCCAGAGAGTGAGTAACTTGTCCAAGATCTCACTACTAGTTAGGGACAGAGTGGAGCCTTGGCTCCAGAGTTCGTGCTCCTTCTGTCACATCAGAGCTGCCCAACACTCAGGCAGGCAGAGAGCACAGGGCTCGGGCTATGTAGAGGAAGCTGCGGGGACCAGAGTCAGCATGATCGATGGACTTTGATGGCAAGCCCTCTGCCCCCCACTGTCCCACCACCCCAGTCAGGATCAGATATCTGAGCGGCAGTGTCTGTAATGCAATATCCTGTTTGCTTCTGTGTCCACTGGGCTCTTGTGATAGAGATCTTCTGCTTGAGTGAGAGGAAGAGGATGGGGAGAGTGGTCTGTGCATTGCATTTTCATATCCAGGACATGAGCCCACAAGGCAGCTTGGACCAAAACAGGATGGTGTTGGGGTGCAGGGGTGGAGCTGGGCACACTTGATCTCCTTAGCCCTCCTCGGGATGTGTGATTGCTCTGCACAGTGCTCAGGTTGGAGACCACAGAGGGAAGGTTCTGGGCTCTGGAACTGTATGCTCCCATAATGTTGTATGGGCAGAGGTGAATTCCTGGAAGCCTGCTGTGTGGAGATTGGCACAGAGTGGGAGTGTCAGAGAGGTCCTCATGAGGTCCACAGCAGGGGGGCGTCCTGTCCTGACAGGAAGGACTGTCTTTACTGGAAGTATTCCACAATGGCTGGAGGATGGTGTGGACTCAAATGCTGGGAGTCCTGCACTGAGTGGAAGATTTGGCTTGACCACCCCTGAAGTCCTTTCCAGCTCGGAGATGCAACATCCCCAAATTGTATGAAGGGGTTTAGAGGTGGAGTGTTGGCCCCACGTCACTCAGACCATGTGGTTCCAAGGACCCTGCCAAGAAGCACGATGTGCGGTACGGGCTCCAAATTGCATTTGGTGGTAAAAAGTACATATTAAGGCCCATTACTGAGGCCATGAAGTTAGGAAGTCAGGCCAGGAAATGGGCCCCTGGAAAACCGGGAATCAGAGGTTCGTGGTGCCAGAGTCCAGCAGTGTCTTTTTGGGGGTCAGCTGTGACGGGGCCAGCAGTGCTGAGAGAGCTCTGCCTTTCACTCACAAACCACCACCTAGGAGTCAGGAGATAGGCTGCCTCACGCCTGGGGAAGGGTGCATACTCACATGACAACGTGCAGGTCATGAGACACCCCCCACCCCAGGCTTCTCCCAATGGAATCTGATCCCAGCGTATCACCGTGATGCCCACACTTTTTCGTAAGGCTTGCGGGGGAATGGCAACAGCTGAGAAGGGATAAATCAGCGGGACATTTGTATTAGTGAAGTACCAGCTGCTGTAACGAATGACCCCTGAGTACACGAAATGGCTCAGTTGTGATAGAAATTTATTTCGTATGTTTGGGAACCTAAAATGGTTGCTACTGATTAGCCCATGGCTGTCCTCCAAGTTTGACTCAAGAACCCAGACTCCCTCCATCTTGTGGCTCAGCACAGGCCCTCCGAGATGGCCATGCCCCTCAAGGTGAAAGGGTTTGCAGGCTGCATGGTGGGAGGATTCCTGCTCAGGCCTGGAAGTGAGCATAGGTTTCCACTCACATTCCATTGGTCAGCGCTCAGTTACTTGGCCGACAGCCAACTGTGAGGGAGGCGGGAAACTGTGCTCCAGCAGCAGACTCAGGAAGAGGAGGGAAGGGAAAGTGGTGAGTGGCAAGTGAATCCGTGTTACACGTCTGCAGTCTTCACTCTCATTCTGGAAGACTCCTTTAACCAGCACTTACTTACTCAGGGTGAGCTCCAGTAGGCATGGGCACCAAGCCACACACAAGGCAGACCTGAGTGTTTCTGCAAGGAGCTGAAGAGGGAGGAAAATCCAAAAACAAGTAAGCAAGGAAATACTTAGGATAATTGCTAATTGTAATAGTGGTGTTTTCTAAGAACTCTCAGAAGGCCTGTGCAGCTCGTGCATTGTGAGCAGGCTTAAGGGAGTCAAGAGATGAGCCTGGGGACATAAGAAGCAGCAGACCAAGGTCACAGCTGGGAGTATGGATTTTATTCTTGTGAGTTCTTGGTAGTTCCCAATCTTCCATCCAAGAATAATGAAGAATGTGGGCTTTACTAGACATCTTGGATCTTTCCTCCATGTCCAGATGAGTATTAACATTTTATGGATCTTAGATAGCAGCTATGGGAGAAGTGAAAAGCATGCCAGGGCAAAGAAAGTAGAGTTGGCTCTGGTTAATGGGTACAGATGCACATGGGAATTTTGTTCGATGAGGAAGGGAAGGGGGATAAAATGTCTCCTAATCCCAGAGCCCTGATCCCAGATGCCTCACACCTCCAAGGGAGGTCCGTGTCCTTCCCCAGTTTTGGCCGAAGCCACCACAACATGTGGATCCCTGTCAGTGTTCTAGAACCATCTTTGATAAGTCTGGCGACCCTTTGGGAGATTCAGCATCAAAGAATCCTAGGATTAAAAGAAAGGTTAAATATCACCTGTGCCCGTCACCTGAAGCTTGAGTTTCCTCTACAACATCACCCAAAGTGGCCATCCGGCTGAAATTAGAATACCTCCCATAACGAGGCGTTCGCACCTCCCAACATCAGCCATTCCACCTTCAGCCAGTGCTGTTAGAACATTCTTTCTCTCCTTGTGTCCAAATATGCCTCCTTGTAACGCCTTCCTTTTGGTTCTCCTTCTGGCTCTGAACCTTGATGTTCAGGTTGTCTTCCTTAGGATATTTACCATTTGTTGGTATCCAGAGAGTGGTAACTGGGTGCAGTAGTGGGAAGTGGGCATGACCTGGGCCCATCTGGACAAAGTGGGACATGATGTGGTCACCCCACAGATCTCTTTCAGAAAATGTGCCACTGACCACCGCGTGTGCCATGCCTGTGGCTGCAGCTCATTGGTTCAGTGTTCAGGAGAAGGAGGCACTTGCCTGGTACCCACTTACCTCCAATGACCTGAGGGTACTCCACAGCCCAGGGAAACTTATGTCAGCCTCGGCAGATTAAAGGGTGTCAAATAGGTCTCAGCAGGCCTGCCCACCTGTTAAAGAGGGTCTTCTCTTTTCTCCCAGGGACTTTGTGAAGGCCTTTATCCAGTTTAAGAAGCCTATCGTTGTTGCGATCAATGGGCCTGCGCTGGGCCTGGGTGCCTCCATCTTGCCCCTCTGCGACATCGTGTGGGCCAGTGAGAAGGCCTGGTTTCAGACCCCCTATGCCACCATCCGCCTCACGCCTGCTGGCTGCTCCTCATACACCTTCCCCCAGATCCTGGGCGTCGCACTGGTAAGCCCCTTCGTTCCTCAGGCAAGATCCCTCTCTGGGAGAAGTGGCTTTGGGTCCCAACATGACCCATTCTCTGTCCTGGATTTGGGATATGGCCCTTCATATGAATAGGGAGCCCAGGGGTGCACCCGCCCTGTGGAAGCTGCTGAGTGTCTCTACTTCCTCTGCCCTTCCCAGGGGACCTGGGATGAGGTCAGGCTAATCTTAGAGCCTTCAACCAGGGGTACCAGATGCCCGTGGCAGGTGTGGCCAAGGGTCGAGAGCATGATGGGATGTTCACTATCAAACGTGTACTTTGTTCCCCTAAGTTAACATAATTCAGTTAGTTTACTTAATTAAGCACTTAACTAGTTAAAGCACATAATAGTTTAAGCTAACTAAACTAAGTTCGGGTCATTTACTTAAGCAAACTTTGCCTTCGTTACGTCATTTATTCTTCACAACAACCTGATACTAGGAGGACCCGTCTGCTATAGCAAACAATCCCGCAATCCTAGGGTCCAAACAGCAAAAGTTTCTTTCTCATTCTTGCCGCAGTCCAGTATAGATGTAGTAGCTGTCCACACTGCCTGGGGTCGGGGGCGGGCGGCCCAGGCATCTTCCATCTGGTAGACCTGCCTTTGCTTCCAGCAAGTGGGCATGAAGAGAGCCTGGAGGTTTTCCTGGGCCAGGCCTGCAAGGGGCATCTTCACCCCCACTCCCATTTCATTGGCCAAGATTCAGTGGTGTGGCCACACCCACCTGCAAGGGAGGCTGGGAAGTGTAGTCTTGCTGAGTGTCCCAGAAGCAGGAAGGGCTTTGGTAATCATAGGCAGTCCCACCTAGAGAACCTGTGTTATGGTCTCCATGACACAGATGGCAAGCTAAACTGGAGAAGTTAAGGAACTTGCTGTGTCCTGTGTCAGTGAGCCGTCAGAGTGGCATTTGAGCAAATGGTGGAGCCCACTGTAGGCTGGAGTCAGATTCTGGACCAGCAGCCAGAGGCGAGTGGTCAGGGGCCACCTAGAAAGCACACACGATGGCCAGTGCCTGAGAGCCGTTAACTCAGGGCGTCCTCCTACAACCCAGGAAGGTAGGACAGTTGTTATCCCCACTTGACAGATTGGAGACTGAGGCTCAGAGAGGGTGAGTTGTCCAGGGTCATACAGTGGGAGTGGCAGTCATGGGATCAGAACACAGATTATCTGGTTTTGGAGTCTGTGCTCTTAACCAGTAGGTCATAAAGTAGGACCTACATCCGAGGAGTGAGTCTGAAATTGGGGGTCTCTGAAAGACAGTATTGCCTGAAATCAATTTGCATCTTACTGTAACAGCCTGTCCCTCTAAAGGTGCCTCCTGCAGACCAGTTCTAGAGAGTTCCAGCACCCACGTGTAGGTGTCGCTGCTGTAGTATTGAAGAAGAAACCTGTCACATTCCATTGCGAGGGACAGCTGTGACCTCCTGTTTGCTGAACCCGGTGGGCCCGTGCTTAGCTCTAACACTGTTTGCTCGCTCTGCTGTGACAGATGCTCCTGGAAGCTCTTTCCTCCATCCTCACCATTCCGGACTTCTCCTTGGCCCTCCAGTAATTTATGTTTGTTTCTTACAAAGCCTTAGATGGGTCTTGTGGTTTGAATTTGGGCTCTTTGGCACAACTCAAGTGTGTTTTAATGACCCAGCCCTTCTTGTTCCGTTTCCTATTTGGTCTCTGGCCTTGACATTCACAACCCCCAACTCCAAAAGGTAACTCCCAGGTGATCCTGAAGGCCCGTGGGGTCAGCACAGTCGCCACCTGCTTTCCTGATGCAGCAGACTGAGTTCGGTGCCTCTTCTGCCCTTAAGATTCCCAAGATTCTCCCTCTCTGCATCCCAGGCTGAGGTCAGTAGGTGAAACCCTCAGGTACCAGGTGCACCGGGACTTAGGGAGTCCTCACTAAAGTGTGGCTGGTTCTGAGATTCTTTACAGGGATGCCCAATCATTTTGACTCTCCTGATGTCTCTTTGAGATACCCGTTCTGAAAAATGTGTCCCCTGTGTTGCATTACACACTAAAACCACATGGGCACTCTGATGACCAAGGATTGAGTGGGTTATCCCAGCAAGCTTCTCTAAGCTTGTACTGATCACCTCCTACCTGGTAGCCATTTTACTGGGCACTTTCCATGGGATGGTCTCATCACTTTTCTGAGCATCTGCAAGGGTAGGTCCTCTTGCTCTCCATTTTACAGGTAAACTGAGGCGTGGAGAGTTGAGATGAAATTCTGGAAGATATCGCTCCTTCTTTGAGCCCACAAACCCAAGTGAGATTCCAGTAGGCAACAGGCATTACCTTACCTGCTTGGAAGTACAAAGATGAGTAACAAGGAAGCTCCATCCTTGACAGTCCCGCCCGTGGGCGATGATGCATGGCTGGTGTGGTGTTTCTCTGCTCTTTTGTTATCTCATCGGATCCTCGCAGGTGGCAACTTGTGCCCACTTTAGAGATGAATAAACAGACTCAGAGAGGCAAGAGATTTGCATAGGGTCTCAGGCCAAAGCAGAAGGCAGAGCAAGGTTGTCTGATCTGTGCTTTTCTCTACCCTCATCCTGTAAACCTTGGCCTTCCCATGAGGGGAGGGGGGTTCCTATGCCAGTAGCCCTACTGCTGGACTGGGATAAAATTCAGGAGTGGTTAGAGAAAGCTCCCAGCATGGGTACCTCCTGAGTGAGTCTGGAAGAATGGGAATCCCCATTCTACCCCTTCTGTGTGGGCTTTGTCACTGAGGGTAGCATGAAACAGGAAGAGAAACCATGTGATCTGTGGAGACCACCAGCAGCCTCACACCCACCAGCACCACCTTGTCTCTGCAGCAGGGCCCGCAGCTGGGATTGGGGAGGCCATTCGGATTCCAGGACTTGGGGTTGGGACTGCTCGAGGCTGCTCACAGTCTCACCAATGGCAGAAAAATGAGGCAGGCGGGGAGGCCAGGAAGCAAACACTTTCCCTTTTGATCTTGGCCACCGTGCTCTGCCCAAAGTCAGTGCCACTCCCGTTCCTCCCTGTCCTTTGTGGTGGCAAAAATGTGTCTAGTGTACAGTCTTATCTCTTTCTGTCTCTCTATTATTTCAATCATTTCTGAAACTCCAAGAATGTTGCTGACGGAGACGTGTTCTTGCCAAGTGTGTCCCGTTCAGCTCCTTGTGTTGTGCCCCTTCCTTTCGTTTCTCCTTCCCGACACAGAGGTGTTTCTAAATAAGTATAATGACAGAGATTTGTCTTCAAACCTCCAACCAAATGCACGCTGTAGGCTCATTACCAGCCTGATAAATTTCTCTACTCTGGCATGAAAGACTGTCCTTTGGGTCATCATGACCCATCAGTGACAGCGAGAACAAAGGGGAAAACAGACACAGAGATCCAGCAGCCGAGAGAGCCTGGCGTTTCCACATCGATCCAGGAGCGGCCCAGCACATAGGGGCAGGCAGATGGATGGCAGGTCAGGGAAGGGATTGCCTGCTGCGTGAAGGAGGTGGGGATTTATCCTGAAGGAGATAGGGACTCCATCCCATGGTGGTGACCATTATACCCTAATTATCAGCAGGAGAGTCACTTAGTAAGTTGTAATGGTGACTGCACTGGTCTGTCTTTGCCTAGGACCTTATCCATCAGGCTCATCCCAGGGCACGCATGACAGCTGTGAAGTACAAAGCAAATGGAAATTCTCTGGGGAGTGGGGTGTGGAGGAAACCGCAGAAGTCGGGGTGGGAGGTGGTCAGGTGGGGGGATGTTTTCGCCCTTCGCACCTCGGCAGAGATATGTGCAGCCCTGGGCCACCAGCAGAGATGCGGCTCTCTGCACTGGTGTGTGGTAGTACTGAGGACCTTTCTGGCTGCCAGGGATGGAGACACTTTTAACGGGCTTCATGCGGGAAGAAAAGAATTCAGTGGTGGCCATAACTTGCCCGTGCAGAAGTGGAGCCTTCTTTGGAGATGCTGGGATCCCACATCCCAGCTCAGTCAGGAAACCTGTTCTCCATCCCTCCTCTCTTTACGGACCCAGCTCTCCAAAGAGCGGAGACACAGCAGTGGGGGACCACGGACTCCCTGACTTCCACATGCAGCCAGCCAGAGAGTGCGTCTTGGCCATCGCCTCTAGCTGGGAAGCCTCGCGGAGAGCTTCATCACCCAGGGCACATATCTGTTCCTCTGTGGACCTGTTGTCATGGCTGGGGTGTCAGCACTGAAGTGTACGTCTTGTGGGTCTGCTGCCGGATGTGGGGAGGGCTGTTGGGCAGACGAACCCACAGTCGGTATGTGGCTTCCTTAAGGAATTTGAGGAAAGCTGTGGGCCCTCTGCTCAGAAACATGCACCTGGGCACAGATGTTTGTAGGTAGTTCCCAAAGCTTATCTGACCCCCCAGTTGAGAGCTGAAATTAGGGAAGCAGGACAGTGACACACGGCAAGCCCAGGCCTTGCTAACAGACATGCGAGGCACTCTGGGCTCTCAGCCTTCCCCTGCCTTTGCTTTTTTCAGGCCAACGAGATGCTGTTCTGTGGGCGGAAGCTCACCGCCCAGGAGGCGTGCAGCCGGGGACTTGTGTCCCAGGTCTTCTGGCCAACCACGTTCAGCCAAGAGGTCATGCTGCGGGTCAAGGAGATGGCCTCCTGCAGCGCGGTGGTAAGTTCCTGTGTCTTTGTGTGCTTGTCCTTGCAACAGACCCATTTTACAGGTGAGGGTAATGAGGCTGAGAGGGACCAACTGACTTGCCAACTGACTTGCCAAAGGTCACGCAGGGTGTGTGTGTAAGACCGTAAATGCCTCCTCTCGGGGTCGAGAGTTTATATCCAGGGACGAGCAGTTGGCATTCGTAGAGATTTCCTGTCATGGCCAGCCTGAAAAACTCACTGAAGAGATTTACACCCTGGGGTAGAGTGTGTTGCCTTAAAAGAAAGTCCCAGACAGACACACACAGAAGCACAAAACATTTGTAGTTTTCAAAGAATATGAGAAACAAAGGCACATGAGGACAAAGGGTGTTAAACCGTCCTGGAGATGAGAGAAACCAGGGCACGCCGACCTCACATTTCATTTCTACCCACCGAGTGTGTGGCACATGTGAGCGTCGCCATTTGACTCCGAAGACACATCGGAACATGGATAAATACAAACGCCTCTGCGGAGGCGCCAGATTTTAATTAAGTGTCGATTTTATCTCAGAAAGTCACTCTGGGTGCGGTGTGGGAAATCCTGTCGGAAGGTGGAGCAAAGGCCGCTCCTGGAGCTGCAGGGCTGGTCTAGGAAATGAGAAAGGTGACTTGGGAGAATAGGGTTGGGGTGTTGGGCGGGGGTCTCTGTCTGTGCTTTGAAGTCAGGGACGTGCTGGGCTGGATTTATGGGGTCAGACCCGTGAGTGTCCCTTCCTTCTCTCCGTCTGCGCTAAACCCTCCACCCGCAATGTCGCGGCTGCCATGCCTCTCCTCTTCCCCCATGCCCCAGCTGCCATGCCACTGCCCCTCCCTGCCGCCCCCAGCTGCCATGTCTCTCCCAATTTGCCTCATCAGCCTGGACTGGGCACCTACTGTGTGTAAGCTCCACCCCCAGGAAACCTGACCGTGCCAGTGATGGTGATAGTGATGGAGAGGTGATGGGCCTGTCGTCGGTGATCACGTATTATGAGCCACGAGCTCTGCCAATCTCTATACAAGGACTGTCTTTTCATCTTCCTGCTAACTGCTGTGACCCACTTGTCCCACTTTGCTTGGGACTCTCCTGCTTTTAGCACTGGGAATCCCAAGTCTGGGACTCCCCCGGTCCTGGGCAAACAGGGACAGTTGGTGAGCCTAGGATCAGCCGCACGGAGAAGCCCGTAGACGTTCTAAGCTGAGGGCACGTGAGCGCGAAAACTCTGGGGAGTTCGGGCCACGGCCTGTGGTGGTGGAAGCAGGTTCACAGGGTGTGGGAGGGACATTCACGTTGAAAAGGAAAGCAGGAGAAAGGCCTCAAAGCTCCATCGAGGAGTCTGGTGTCTGGGCAGTGCGGGTGCTCAGGCGAGCGAGCTGTAGAAGAAACACTGCAAGGTGGTCTCTGCTGTCCACAGTGGTGAATTCAGGAGCTTTGGGGTGAGTCGCTCGAGAAAGGACTCTGCGACCTGGGAGCTGGTGTTCTTTGGGGCACCTCTTGTGTGGCCCACACAAGGTGGCCTTGGTCTGCCGGCCCGTTCTCACTCCCCTTGGCCGCCGGCCCAGGCCGAGGAGGAAGAGCTCAGCTTCGTTCCGGCCTGCGGGAGCCCAGGAGCCCTTGTCCTGCGTTTTCCGCTTGAGAGCACTTTGGGAGAGTGTGAAGCGAAGCCTTGACGTCGGCAGAGGGGCTGGAGGCCAGTGGGAGGATGGAGGATGCGCAGGTGCCTCAGTGCCCCCCACCCAGCATCTGCGGCAGAGCAGGGCAGCGCCACCCACCCCAAGCCAGGTCAGCCACACGTGCCGAGCAGCACGGGCGCCTTCCTCCTCGGAGCTCAGGCCCTTGGCCGTAGCGTGCAGATAAAAACACCGCCTCCGTGTGGGACTCCTGTGAGGATGGAAGGAAAGAGCGCAGGGAGAGCGCTTCTCATTCGCACTTCTGCAGCATTGCTGCTGTCACCGCGATCAGTACCTTGCTGTTACTCGTGCCTGGGATGATTTTTACTGTGGCTACATTATTACTGCCATGCCCCTAATATCACTGCTCTTGTTGCTGTGTTGCTACCGTAATACCCTAGTATCATCCCCGCCACATTACTGACGTTCCCAGCGTTACTGCTGCTGTGATACCGCAGCGTTATTACTGCTGTCGCCACCGCAATTACTGCAGGTTTTCATCCTCCCGACTGCAGTGATGGCCAGTGTTCTTGCTGCTGCTCTTACTGCTAAAGCCTAAACAAGAGGCACTCTTGGTGGGGTAAGTCCTCTGGCTACTCTGACGGCCATCACTCCGTTATCTTACTCTGTGGTGCCACCCGTCCTAAGGCAGGCCTCATTGTCACCGTGGCGCAGGTCATCAGAGTGAAGCACGGGAGGTGAAAGCATTGTTTCCCAAACTTTTGCATGACACCCATAGAAAATGATTCTGAGTTTATGTCACCCTTCGGTCCAGGACAAAACTCCGCCATGCCGGGGACCGAGGCCTCAACCCCTTGGCATGCCTGGAGCCCATTCCTGGCATTGCTGGGGACACAGGCCTGGCAAGCTCTAGAAGACAGCAGGCAGCCTCCTCTGGCTTTGGACATCGGAAGGTTAGCTAGTGCCTCCTAGGCCAAGTCCATTCTTCTGGAGCAGAGTCCCTGGTGCCGGCTAACGAGGCTTATGCGTTTCCCTTCAGGTGTTGGAAGAGTCGAAATGCCTCGTTCGGAGCTTCCTGAAGTCTGTGCTGGAAGGTGTGAATGAGAAAGAATGCCTCATGCTCAAGCAGCTGTGGAGCTCCTCCAAGGGCCTGGACTCCCTGTTCAGCTACCTGCAGGACAAGATCTATGAAGTCTGAAGAGCCCCGCCCACCCGCCCCAGCGCTCAAGGGCACCGGACTTCCAGCCTGGCCCCGTGCTTCCCAAATCTGAGCACGGTGTGCGCCAGCCAAGGAGTTTGTCAAGGTGTCTCTCTTGTGTCCATTTCCTCCTGTCCTTTGGTTGCTCCGCATTGGTTTGATTTTGTATAACAGATGGGAAACGCAGCATACTCGGCCCCCCCCCCCACCGTGTCCCCCCCGCCCCATCCCCCTCCCTGCACTGGCCAGAGAGCTATCGAGGGCTATATCTTCCCAGGCCTCTGCCAGACGCTGTTGTCCTCTCCCCACTCGCTGAAATGCACCATCCTGGTCCAGGAAGGGGAAGGTCAGCTTTCCCCATCCTTCTGACTCAGGCTGTGTCTACACAGTGCCTCTGCTTTGGAGACTTGGCTATAAGGCTCTCTCTGGTTAAGTGCAGATCCGGTGACAGGGGACGATCAACTTAGGGAATTTCCAGACCGCCGAGCAAAACGGTTGTGTAGAGCGAGCCTCAGTCTTCTCTCTGATGCAAATCTGTGTGACTTTTAGGGCTTGGTCTTAAAACCCAATTGAGTGATTTGCAAACCCAGATATTGTACGTTTAGGAATGTTTTGTTAAATATATATTTTTAAAACAATGTAAGTGGAAATTCTGATAATTTATGTGTATTATATGTAAAGCTAGTTTTACAAAAACATGAACTACTAGGAAATTTTTTTCTTTAATCAAACTTATTTAATTTATTTATTTTTGTTTATATATTATGATATCTGTCGTTGGCACAGATATTATTTTCATACTGCCCTGGACCAAATCCCATACAAGGTTCATGCCGTTTGGTGCATTCTAGCAATGAACCATGCAGAAATAAAATTCGGAGAGATGTAAATGGGAGGATCCCTGTGGATAAAAGGAATAGCTCTGCACCAGATCCTCCTCGCGTAAATGGTTCTCAGCCATTTTATTATTCAATAATAATTGAATACCCATTCTTAGGAGAAATTGTGGGAGAGTTTTCCCTTCACCTCTGCCGCCTTGAAGGAAATAAAGGGGCCTCCAACCTGAATGGTGCTGAGATATACCCAGTCCCAAATTCATGACGTCAGGAAGAGCTAATGGGTCCTGCCTAGGGATTGCGTATTGTCTAGCGTGAGCCTTTTGTCTTTGGGGCAAATGTCTGAACTTGGATTTCAGAGTCCATTTCCTCCATGTGGACCGCTTTATCTGGTTTTGGCCTTCCACGTGAGGTCAGGGAAGAGCTCCCACTCTGCTGAGCCATCAGTAGGTCTCAATCATACATGTCTAGAGGCACAGACGATCTTTTTTCTAGTCGTTTACTTATATCAGGGAGAAATAACCAGGGATGAGGTCTCCTGTCCCAGGGCCCCTGGGCTGCATGGGGACCCCAGCATCTGAATTTAGACCATCATCCCAAAGTCCATGAATCAGCGGCAGAGAAGGGGTGGGGGTTGGTTTGATGGTTTGAGTTGATGAAGAGAAAGGTAGACCTCGGGTTTGGAGCAGAGGAATGACAGGAGCGTGTTCTGCATGAGGCTCGACCCTCCTGGGGGTCAGCAGATCCTAAGAGTGGTGGGATCGTTCCATGTCCATCGCAGCCCCTGAGTATTCTCAGAGGCCTCCTTGCCTGCCTCCCTCTTCTCCTTCCCTGTGTGGTCGCCAGCCTGTCTTGGCCCTTGTTGGAGACAGTGAGTGGAGCAGGGAACGCTGGGCATGGTCGGGGGGAGGGGAGGCCAGCTGAGAACAGGGAGGCTGTTGCCACAGTTTTCCATCTGCCCTGTGTTAGAAGAGCGGGTTGAGTGTCTACAGTAAGGCTGGAGACATGATCCTGTAGACAGTGAAATGTGACCTTCATCTGGGTACGATCCCTACAATGGCCTTGGTTCTCTCTCTAGAAAGCCCCTCTCCTTATGATCCTTCCCCATTGGAAGGATCTCCAATGATAGGGTAAGAACGTGAAACCGTTACGAGGGTAGAATTCCTGCTGTTAATTTGTAGGTTCTGGTTATAACAGGAGGTGTTTTGAAAGACGGTCTGTGTTTTGGTTGTTTCTACACAGTCAGTTCAAGGAGGATGTTCCACAAATTGGACAAAAGTAGGTTAAATCTGCTTGCTGCCGGGTAGATTACATCACTGAGTTCTCTACTTTCTAGATAGTTGCTTGATAGTTTGGAGATGAAATCCAGGTAACTTTTAGCAAACCAACCTGGGATGGAAAATGCCAGACCTATGGATGCGTCCAGGTTTACCCTAAGAGCTTTCTCAAGACAGGGGGCTCAGGCTTTCACTTTTTGTCTTTGGTCACAGCGCCTTCTCTCCACCCATAGGATCCCTTTTCCCTTCTCTTCACTCTGCCTTGTCTCCAGCCCACCCTATGTCTGTCCCTTCCCAGAGCCTGGGCAGGGCTTTGAGGAACTGCCTAGTCTTGGCAGCCCAAGCCCAGAATTCACCTTGGGGTTGGAAGAACCGCTGTGGGTGGGAAGTGAGGGTACTTCCTCAGTGGAGGAACCTTGTAGGTAACCTGCTCTTTGCTGTCCTGCAAACCCCGCATTAGACTCCCTCCCACCACCCTGCTCTAGCCCTGGGTGATTAGCACCCAGTGTCCTGTAATGGGGCCAGTGGAGTTAGCAGTCCCGTTCCAAGAGGACCCTGCAAACTTTACCAAGGTGGTCAGAGCTGCCCCCCATTCGGAAACCACACACACAAACGATGATGTACCCACATGTTCCTTCCTGCTTTTAAATAATGTCTGTGGGCAAAGACCATCAAGATTTACCCTCTGAGAATGGAATCGGACAGCTCTGAGAAGGTAGTAGAGAACTGATTTAAAACGTTCTACTTGTTCATTATAGATTAAACTAGGAAATGTTCTCTTTGAAGCATGATGATGTTTCTTCCATATGAAGTTTAGTATCAGGATGGAAAAATAATGATCAAAATGGACTCTGATCAATGCAACTGCAGCTCTGAATACCCACATTGAAAAAAGCCTTGACTGAATGCTGAATTGCATTTTCCATTAATTGTTGGTTTAAAAGATTTTGTAAACTTTTTTTAATTTGAAATTGAGTCCCTTTCATGCAATTTTCCAATCTAGTTTCTGTGGAAATTTTTTTAAGAGAAACAAATAGAAACATCTTCAAATCTTCCTAAGTGAATATTTAAAATGCAGAATTGCTTCTCTTCTGTGTTTCTGTATTCAGACACTTAGATCTGTTGTACATATTAGTTTAGACGCTCCTACTAATACACACAGTATTTAAGACTCTAAATGAGATTTCTTAAGTATTTTATTTTATTCTCTGTAAATGGTTTTGTATAATCTTTAAAAATCTACACTTTGCCTTTGTAGATATTTAAGGGAAACCATTTGGGGGTTGTCTTGCATGTATATTTTTGTTGTAGACAAGTGTTGCTCAGTTATTTCTGCAAATTTTGGTTGAAATGCTTACAGACTTTAATACAGTATATATTTTCAGAATATAAACTTTTATATTTCTGTGGTAAGTTAGGATATGCGTTTTGGGCAATCTTTTCCATTAACATCACTTGTTCTTTCAAAAAATAGCATACTGGTTTGTTGCCAATGGGATTTATTTTATTTTTTCATTAGAATCTACTGATCTTACGTGGTTGGAGAGCAGGTTAATTTTCTTTTTGTCAGAGTAATTGAGTTTGAAGTATCATTTGAAAATGTATTGAATTTGTGGATAAGCCTTACCATTAGGATCAGTAAAATTTCCAACCCTTGCAACTACGTATGTAGCTGAGGACCTCCCCATGAAGTCTCACTGTGTGGCAGTTGATAGAGTCTGTGAACAGAGCCTTAAGCTTGTTGCAAAAAAAAAAAAAAAAAAAAAAAAAAAAAAAAAAGGGTAATACGGGTTGTTGTTTCTTCCAAGCAACATAAGCCGTGTTGACGGACTCAACGCAGTCTGTAGGTCATGGCTGATGTGAAGAGTTTGGTTGAGCTGATGGCAGCAGGAGCCAGGTAGGCAGCTTGGTGATTGTCTTTGGCCATATGAATGGACCAAGGGCAGGTTTTCTGGAGCCCTCTTTGTACTATTCGCATGGTTTAGACATGGCCACAGGGAGGGCTGCTGGTCCACCATTTGTTCTGAACAAATGGCATTTCCTGCTCCTGACCTTGGCCCCGGGTCCCTCGTGGATGACCTGGAACCGGCCAGCCTGGCTGAGGTCAGCACTCCTTGAGAGGTGTTAACAAAGTTTACGTGTGAGTCTTAACTGTGTAGACAATCTGAAGTCAATTTCGGTTACGTAATCAGCATTCCCATGTGTCCTGAGTGTCTTATCAATGAACTATGTGTGTGAAGCCATACTTAAACCTGAGTTTAGCAGGGCAAAGGCAGACTAGATGAAGAACATCACGTCAGCTGAGGCCGTTCACCCAGGGCTGTTGTAGTGAGTCTAAGTCTCGGGGCTCGTCGGTGGTGCATCCGCTGTGTCTGGGATCTAATAAAACCAGCTAGGGTTTGGACTTAGATTAAAAAAAAAAAAATTATGATTCCTTTCAGTTGGCCACACTTCCCTAGCTACCAGCTGATTCTCCTTCCTATTGCTTTCAAGATGACTGGAGACCAGGGCTGTCGTGTGGCTAATGTCAGGTTATCTGAGTGCATCTCTAGTAAGTAAAGTCTACTGACAGGGTGGAGATTGGCTTCCCAGGTCTGCAGTGTGTGTGCAGCCCAAAGAACTGAGGTCTGGTCTGAAACCTCCGCTAGTGTCTGTTCAGGCGGACCATGCCTCAGTGGCCCAGCACCTGAGCTGATGCTGGTGCTCGCTCGTTCAGGGGACTCCGGGAAGTTGGGAGGGTATAGAGTGTTCCATCTGGTTTTAAGTTCGTCCCTGTGCCATTAGTCCCAGCTGGAAGTCATTCACTGATGTCCACGTTGACAGGATTGTGAAAATATTGCCTTTCATAAAACCAAGGACCAAAGAATTCCATTAATCCAACAAAGCGCGTGTTTCATAGATGGTGG